AAGATTCAAATGGCTGGACCAAAGTAATAGTTTGCTACCACTGAATCAAATTGGTTTTACCTGCTGTAGAGCTCATATGACATTCTCAAAATTGTACTTGTACTTGTATTTGTAAAGCAATTGTACCATAGTAGATGTGGTCCTTCTCCCCAACTGTGGTTTCTGAAACCCATCTGCTCTATTTATCTCTGTCTGGCTGTGGATGCCTCTGTGCCTGCCTTTCTAGTCCTGTCTCCTAAGCTGAAAGCTAATGAATTAACATCCAGCCACACTGCACTGCCTAAGGAGTCCTTAAGAACGTCATCACAAGTGTCTTATTCACTTCTAGGAAAGTGGTTTATCAGGCCTTAAGTTTAACTGGAGTAACTTGTTTCTTTTACTTAAGGGTGCTTTCTCACATTCGCCTGTCTTCCGATTCCCAGTGTTGTCACTGGACAGAAGTTTGTACAAACTTGGTTACATTCATCACTGTCACTATGCCTGACGCTGTTAGCTCTGTTGGTCTGCCAGTCAGTCCATCTTAACTGTCAGTCTTGCTCTCCATCTTCTTCTTTTGACGTTTGCATTGTGGAAATTAAGTGTTTCTATCAATCTTTACTTTAATATTCGAGTTAAATACTTTTTAATAAAGTAATTGTTTTAAGAAAGCCGCCTTTTTGGGGCACAATCCACATAGAAAAAGTCAAATTCCATTCCAGCTCAAAAATTCTCTTTATCGGCCATATCGGTAATCAGTAAATGATGTCCTCTAAAATCTGTATCGGCCTCAAAAATCCCTTATGGTCATGCTATAGAATGAATGTTTACCTGTTAAATCCATAACCATATAGCCATATATTGCGATGTAACGCAAATTCAACCAAGCCAAATGTTTTTTATAAAAGCTGCCATGAAATCAGACGTTTTCAACAAAAAAACCTACTCTAGGGACTAAATACCGCAATAGATGGCGATATTTCCCCAGTAATAGAACTTTTGCTCTGGTCCAGTCAGCAGACTGACACACAAAGTTGAAGCTATTTCAAAAACCTAAAAGATATGGGGCATTTGAGAAAACATTCAGGGGCTGGAGCCCCAGAAGCCACCCCCGTACTCCGTCCCTGTCTGTGACTGCAAGTGAAGAGGACACTGTGAGGGAGACATTTGTTCTGTAATGTCAGAACTGCACTAATAAAATTAGACACAGCAGGAGCAGTAACTCGCAGACCATCAACTGGACTATAAGTTAGTAGCACAGGTGTTCCAGACATTCACAGCTCAACAGGGACCAAATGAAATCCTACTGTCTCAACGACACCTGCCTTGTAGATGCTGCACCTTCTGATAAGAATAGAAAAGTCACTGTAATGTTCTCATAATATTCCCCTGGAAACTAATAGCTTGCCTGAGGTGGCCAATAATATTCTTACAATGAGTGTGTTGTATTTTATGGTATTTTTATCTCCTGCGGTGTCAGTTTAGTAGTCATGCAATATTCATTCAGGGAATTATGCGCCTGTGGTAATCAATAGTGAGTTTACTATGACCTGATTGTACTGATGACATGCAGCAGTGGTCTGTCTCCCTTTCTACCCCTGACTCTCTGGGGGAGACCCCTGCTAGAGTAGGGGAGAGGACACAGAAATAGCAATATCCTCAAACAAGGATCATATCTGACACAGGATGCCATTTTCTGGAGTGTCTGCACTTGTCCCACTGCACTGGACCGCCTGTACACACACACACATAAAGTTGTCCACTCACTGTAAACCCTCACTCACTCGCTTACTCATTCTCTGCAGCCTTTCCACAAACACACAGACACACACAGCACACTTCTCTCTCTCTCTCTCTCACACACACACACACACACACTCAAATGAGGAGGAAACCATCATGGGGATATTAATGGAGCCAGAGACACAGACGGAGTCAATTGAGCTTTTAATAGAGCAGCTCCTCTTCCTCTGTATGGATAAATAATACAGCAGTCAGCAAATCTAGATCTAATAGATGATATTGACCTTTGGGGGTGGGGAAGGGGAGGAAGAGAGTGAGCGACGGGACAGCACAAGCGGAATTGGAGAGAGAGACGTAGGGGAGAAAGTAGAGAGCCGGGAGAGTTGCGACGCAGAGGAATACACACAAGTGTCAATAGGAGCGGGGTGCTTAGACAAAGCATCTTAATCAGAGTGCGACAAAGCGGTGATCAATCACGAGGATGACGATGTGGTTGCAGAGCCGGAGAGGCCCTGACCCGAGCTGCACTGCAGATAGAGCTGGCCGGGCAGCGCTGGCCCTCAGAGACTCTCTTTCTCTGCTCGTATCATCTCTCTTTGTCTTTCCTCTTTCTCTCTGTCCCTCCTTCCTGACTGCATTGTGTCTTCCTTCCCTCCTCTATCTCTCCGTATCTCCCTCTTTCCATTTTCATTACTCTCTGCCACTTTATCTCTCTGCCTCCTCCCTCCCTTAACTTTCTCCCTATATTTCTGTCTCTGGTACCCGCCATCTGTCATCCGTTGTCTTCCTCTGTCACCCCCCCCACTCATTTTCACTCCCTCAATCCAATTCAAGGAGCTTTATTGGCATCATAAGATGAATTTTACTGTCTCTTTCTGGAACATTTGTCTTCCTCTTACTAATTCCACACTTTTGATGCTACTCCACAAACTCTGCAGCGTCCTGTGCAGGCTCTAAGCTACAAGTAATGGTCAGTGTACAGTGAGTCCAGTACACCCTTTCATATCAATATTGAATTCAAGGCCATGTATTCTTTATTACCTTGCTCATGAACAAGCAGGCTGAGACTGAACGCTACTCATCCCAGGCTGGTTTACAAGCACGGTGGAGGTGAGAGTGTTGGGATATAAGGGACAGCCAGCCTAATAAAATGACTGAAAAGTATCCATACAGTGTGAGATGGCCTTGAAAGTGACTTTTATGTGTATAGTGACACCATGTGGAAATGCCCTGTAACAGATTAAAACATCAGCATGCTGTGGTATTGCCGATGCAGCAGGAACTACAACTGGAAAGCTCTCCTGCAAATTAATATCTTTAAATAGATCCAAAATATGGATTTAATCCACTTTTCACAAAACAGATTGTTCAAAAGGAAAACATATGTGCACATGCACAATTCCATACATTGTGACTACACAAATAAACATATGGTTGAGTCTCGTATGATGTTTGCAGACCATAGTGAAGCGCCTCGATGGTCAATTTTACTCTATTGTGTATTGGAATTACAGAAACGGAGCCATCTGCATGTCTGCTGTGAATTAAGTGGCCTAGTTGATCCCAGAAGGAGATCCATAGACCACCAGGGGTCCCTGAGAGTGTCCCAGTGGGACCCCAGCACATACAGTGATAACTTAATAAACTATAATCTAGCATTTTAATATTCTAGTTCAGTATCATTCACATTTTGCTCAGATATGTGTTGATGGATGGTAGAACTGTGCTCAGCATCACACATTCTCTCAGATGTTCTTGCTTGAGGCATGATCATATCAAATGAGGGTCAGATAGGAGTCATCATATTTGTAACTACTGACCTGAACTTAGAGTGAGTTATCTGGAAGAATGCCTCCCAGACTTTCTAGTAATTTTCCAAGAGAGAAGTCAGCACTTTGACAGGGGGACTTCTCTCTGTATCCAGGAAGTGACGGTGAGAACTTTAATGGGGTCGAAACAAGCCGAGGGAGGTCGTCCCGTCTCTACAAAAGAAGTTGGGTGGAAGAGGAGATCCATCATGCTAGCCAGAAACAGATGGAGGTGCACAGGAAGCTGGAGGATTGGGCCTTCACAATAAGAGCATACAAAGTGGGCAATGGGAAAACATGCATTATATAAGTTATTAGCCACTAAATTCCTTCCTCCATTCATATGTTTGTCTTCGCAATGTTAAGGAAATGCATAAGATCTGATTATAACTAATGTTATCGCTCATGGCTGTGGGCCCTAGCCTCAAATAGAAAGTCATAACTAGATACTTTGGACAACTGCTGGAGGAAATGTGGACCACAAATTGGAAACCACACTCATATTTTTTGGTCATGTCCAGTGTTAAGTAAGGCTTTGAGGAGAGAGCCAAAATCTACTTGTTTCAAATACTCTCAAAGGCTGCTATTAAATGTATCACAATAAGATGGTTGAAACCCAAAGCTCCAACATACATAAAAAAATATGGGAATTGTATGAGATGGAACAAATCACATATGCGATTAGATCGCAAAGACCTAAATTTACAAAGTTGGTACTAAATCTCGATAGATGTCAATGCAGATAGAAATTCTGTAAATGATGGAAAGTGAAATGATCCCCAAACTGTATTGTAAGTTTGGAAAGCTGAAGAAAAATAAAAAATGCATTATAATGTTACTAGGTATCATGCCATTTAAAGTGCTTAAAATCTGCATATTCCTAAACAAATGTTAAATGAGCTAGCACAAAAAAGTAGTAGTACACAATAGTACTGGAGCTTTTGTGGGGCCCTGAAGTTCTGGGGCCTCCAGGCAGTGGTCCTGTTGGTGCAGTGCTGGATGTTACTTCTTTAAGCTTGATAGATAACACATACAGCATGGGAACGCTGGACCTCAATATTCCTCACTAATATGACTTTCCATTTTAAGTATCTTCAGTTATATTACTTATTTGTCTGACATTTGTACATAGACATAGTTATTTATAACAACATACATACGTACATAGACATAGTTATATATAACAACATACATATGTACATAGACATAGTTATATATAACAATTAAAAAAAAACACAGCTCAAACAAGCTAAAATATACAAAGTGTCACATTTAAAGAACTTATAAAAACACACCTCAAGTGTTTGGTTTACTTTCTCCTTAAAAAAACATTTAGTTCCACATAAAGAAATATCTAAATTAACTATAATCTATCATTTTAATGTTATTCCAGTTTTATACGATTCAAAAACATTTAGTTCCACATAAAATGCAGCTCAGAACAGCGTTTTATTTTGAAAACGGCAACCGGAACACCTGTGTCGCAGTGTGTGTCTTCTCGCGGCTCTCTGGCTGTGGGAAGGTGGTCCTGGTCGAAAACACCGCACAGAAAAGCGACCGACGGGGCAACTTTGCGTGTTTTTGTAGAGTCCCTTCATCCTCAAAACAGACCATAAAAGTGCGGAATTGAGCCAAAATGTTGCTGACAAAGGAAGTGATGGGTTTGACCTGTTTGTCATCGGGAATAAAGTTGGGAAACTACGAGGTGAAAATGGAGAGCCCAGCTGAGTGAGAGTGGGGTGAGGAGGCTGGATTTGGCAGAAGTTGGGAGTCCTGCCCTGCTGCTAGCAGGCTAGTTAGCATGCTTAAACACTCCGCTATCTCGGATAAGGAATGAGGTGAGGTTGAGTTTTACACTTGTAATGTCGGCTTATTTGTGGAGGTTTTTACACACTGTTCAGGTGTTTGCAAGAAAAATAACGGTCAAATGTGTTTTTGGCTGAAGAAAAAACATTGACAACTTCAGGCCTGGTCTTTTTCCCCCATTTCTTTAAAGTTAACTAAACTTTAATGCAGTTGTTAAATTCAGATATAACTGTGCTGCGTTCAGAGGACTTGAACTGTGTGTTTGGGCGCTGTTTCCAGCCAATTTCCTCTTGCTATACATGAATAAGTAAAGTAAGTTGACAAACATTTTGTACTGAGAATCTTTAACAATGTATGAAGCAGACTTCCAACATTTTAGACTCGGATAAGAGTGACCATCTGTGATAGTGCAGCTATTTCTCCCAGTGGCAGAGCTGCCACTTGTTTTCTTGGCCATTTCAGTGTGTGGATAGCTGTAATCAGAGTTTGGCTGAAAGTTTCACAATATGGCCTCATCACGCAACTTCCATACAAAAAAATGGTGTCACTTCAGTGCTCAAATGATCAATGTGTAAGGTCCGTTTCTGCCAATCACTGACATTCCTAAAGGCTGCCCCTGTCCTGTCTGCGTTCAGCGTACACTCAGTATGACACAGTGCCCGTATGTTTGCTGAGCCTAACCATAATCAGTCAGGATTCATATTTCATTTTATGTTCTGCATTTCAGAGCTTCCCTCCACTGTTCTCCAGCCTGTGATTCTCCAGGGGAGCTGCTTTATCTGACCGCTGCTGACAATGCAGCTTCTCCCAATGGATCCAAGCACAGCTGATGATCTTATTTTCTGCGGATGTTTTGACTGAATCTTTCTGCAAAAAGACCACCACATTTAAACCTGTTTTTAAAGAGCCCCTCTCTCTCCTCAGCCTGTCACTCATTTTCGTACCGTGAGCCTCCATACTAACTGATTTTATCTCAGACATTCATCATATTAAGCCATCAGAGATGGGGCCCTGGTAGGTTCTTCAAGGGGCTTTAGGTGCCCCCCTGCCTGCCGACTGTGCAGCCTGGCTGCGTGTGTGAGACCCACCGGCAGGGGCCCCCGTAAAAGATCTTGTAACAAAAAGCAAACCAGCAATACAGCACTTGCTGATGGAGCCGAGACACAACGTGCTTGCCCAAAATATATTCATGAACTCTTGGACTTTTTAAACTGGACTTAAGTGGATGTATCGGGTGTAATCATGAACTCTGACTGCTGATGCCAGCTCATCGGGACCTGAGTGGGTGTAATCAGCTTTATTCATGAGCCCTCTTGTCTGAGTCTGGGTAAAGCCTGGATGTTGGATGCCCTGAGTGTGTTGAATCAGCTGTTGCGGTGATGAGGCAGGGCTCCTGGTGGCCTGTGAGGCTGACGGGGCAGTGGCCCAAGGTGATGTGATGGGGTGCAGGAACAGTAAGGTCCTCCCTGAGCCTCCAGGGGATGTTCAGTTGGACCTGGTCAAAAAGGTCAGTAGCACAATGTTGTTATTAGCAATGCTAATGCTATTGTTACCACCATAGATGTTGCTACTATCCATAACAGCAGCAGTCATTACTGGCAATAACGGCATTCTATTGCCTCTTACTTCATGCAGATGCTTGGATAGAATAATTTTTCACCTCCCAAGTAGTCCAGTGAGTAACATTTAGGTTTTAGGATCTATGGGCAATAACTAAATATAATATTCACAGGGTTTGTTTTTGTTCCCTGGGAATGGAACGTTTATATCTACAGATGTTGCTGGAGGGTGAAGTGAGAGGGTTAAAATCTGCAATTACACCACTAGATGTTACTGAATTCTACACATTGGACCTTTAATCGTCAGGAAATAACTTTGAAAAATGTCCCAATTTCCCAAATCCCAATGTGAAATCTTCAAATGTGTCTATTGTCCAACCAACAGTCCTCAAAGTCATTCAGTGTACAGTGATATAACCCAGATCAAATCAGCAAATCATTAAGTCTGATAAGCTGGAAAAGCATTTTGTTCATTAAATAACTTAACAGTCCCTCCAGGACTTTGCAGGCTTTTTTTGGGATTATTGTTTCAAAGTAGCTTTTATAAAATTGTGATGGAATGATTTTAGGCTTACATTTTTTTTGAATTGCACAAGAAAATGAAAATTGCTAAAATAGTAGTAATTTTTAAAATTTCTATAATTCATTAAAAATCAAAGGGAACTTGTTCCAGTGAGAATGAACATCAGTTTGGCAACCTTTGGCTCAACATTTTGTGCGGGGGACTGCAATGATTGGTGAGACTCGCAGTAAACTACAGTGATTGCAGAAAAAATTTGGGTGATTGGACAAAAGTGGAAGGTTACGCACAATTCTCTGGAATCAGTTGAATTGTGTTAATTGTTGTGATCACAACATTGCAACTTCCTTGACGGACTCACTTAAACAATTGATTGAAAATTCATACTGTTGCTTTTGTGTCAGTCAACGAGTCAACTAACCCTTTCACCTCTGTGTATTCATTTAACAAACAGGTCAACTCTGAGTAATTGCGATGGGCATTTTTTCACGATCGTATGCAGACTTTAATGAGGGACAAATCTATACCTATAGATCTGTGGTATGTCAAACTGTTAGAGCCACTACAGATGGGGAGTGGGTGACCAGGGGGAAAAATGGAGTGGAACAAAGTCGAATTAATATGATTTATGTAGGGAAAATAAACAAATGAGTGTGCTGACCTTAATTTCACTTAAATTCAACTCGGATCCTTTTTTTTTATTAGTTTTGGTTTCCCTGTCATTGTTAATAATTGCTAAAAATTGTGGGGTGGTGGGGCATAAACGTTTTTTCAGCTTCTGAAGGGGCCCACGGCAGGAATAAAAATGACAACCGCTGCTAGACTAACTATTAGAGTTAGACCAATTAATCAGCCAGACTAAAATACTGTCAATATTAGCTTATTGTCCATAAATAACCTGACATTAGAGAACAGAACTGGCAAACTAGGTCTGAGGTCATTTATAAACAGTGTTCCCATTACAAAGATTGTGCATCAGAGAGCAAAGACATTTGATTTTCGACTGTGAAATGTCCCACTCAGCATGTTTTTGTAATATAATTATATATATGTAAAATATTGATATCAGTGTCGGCCTTAGAAGTCCAGTATTGGTTGGGCTTGACTAACTATAGACTAAAAATCTATGCACACGTTTTTACTTCCACAGTTTGCTTCCACTGAAAAGAACAAACCTTCGTTGTTCTACTCTGGTTTGTCATTTGCACCTTCAATGAACTTTGTTCCTGTATTTTTTAGGTTGATCCTCCCCCACCTCCTCAGACAGATATCTATAAGCACTTCATACGAGGGGATGGCACTAGGAGCAAGATGGGTGTGGCCAGTGGAGGGGGAGGAGACAAGGCTGACTCCACCTCCCCGTATCAGGCCCAAGCTGCCACTCCCACGGCTTCCGCCCACCCCCCCAAGGACCCGTCCGAACTGTCGGACCCTCAGCGGAAGAAGGTGGCAAAATACCGAGCCAAGTTTGACCCCCGGGTCACAGCCAAGTACGACATCAAAGCTCTGATAGGTCGCGGGAGTTTCAGCCGGGTCGTTCGCGTGGAGCACAAGAGCACGCGGCAGCCATACGCCATCAAGATGATCGAGACCCGTTACCGGGAGGGGAGGGAGGTGTGTGAGTCTGAACTGTGCGTTCTGCGCCGTGTCCGTCACACCAACATAATCCAGCTGATGGAGGTCTTTGAGACGGCGGAGCGTGTCTACATGGTCATGGAGCTGGCCACTGGAGGAGAGCTCTTTGACCGGATCATTGCCCGCGGCTCCTTCACAGAGCGGGACGCCACGCGGGTGCTACAGATGGTGCTGGACGGCGTCAAGTACCTCCACACTTTGGGGATCACTCACCGAGACCTGAAGCCAGAGAACCTGCTCTACTACCACCCTGGGGCCGATTCCAAGATCATCATCACTGACTTTGGTTTGGCCAGTAGCAGGAAGAAGGGGGACGAGTGTCTGATGAAGACCACCTGCGGCACGCCAGAGTACATCGCCCCGGAAATCCTGGTGAGGAAGCCCTATACGAACGCTGTAGACATGTGGGCGCTGGGGGTGATATCGTACATCCTGCTGAGCGGAACTATGCCCTTCGAGGACGACAACCGCATGAGGCTCTACCGGCAGATCCTCAAGGGGAAGTACAGCTTCTCTGGAGAGGTGAGGAGTTAAATCTGACACACACTCTCTCTCTCTTAACACACACACGCACACACACACTCACACACACACTCACTCACCAGCAGACTTCACCCATATTTGGAATACATTCCTCACACCGCATGAGGCTTTGTCAACAGATTTCCAAGAAGTTCTGCTTTTCTCATGAGGTGACACGGTTTCACACAGACACACACTCATTTTCAAACACACTCCTGTCCTTGCTCTTCATCTCACAGCTCACTTCCATTTCTGTCTCATGTACCTCTCCCTTTCCTTTTACCTTGCCATACTCGCGCACGCTCATTCATTTGCTCCGTCTCTCGAGTCGATATCTTTGTATGCCTCTCCCTCTAAGTGTGTGTGTGTGTGTGTGCGCAATAATTTATGCTCAATCTGTGCATCTAGTTACAAGAGTGCTGAGTAGTCCGTTCCTTTGTTTCATAGCGTGGGATGTTTGTGTTGCCAGTGAGCTTTACAAAAGGGCCCCTTAGTTAATGTTTGCCCCACATACAGCCACTCCAGCGCAAATAATAGCTGAGTAGTTTTGTAATATTTAATGAGGAGCAGTTAAATCATCTCAGTTTTCCGGGGATGTGTCCAGATTTGAACATCTCCAATGTCCGACAGGTAAGATAAGGTCAGATCTGACACATTTAATAATTGAAATCACTTCCAGGGAGCCGGAATTTTAGCTGAGGTCTGCAAATAGTACAACCGTGCTGCTGGATGAGTACCAGGATATGTCCAGCAAGTCGTCCTTGGAATCAGTGAGAGAACTTGTTACTGGAACCATTATGCATTTTTTGGATGATATACTGGTTGTTGAGTAGATATTATGGTCTTGGTCACATAAAAGACTATAAACTTAAAAAAGGAGCAAGATTTCTGATGAGAGCAATGACAGAGCAGCCTTTATTCTCTGTCAACATGAGGACAGACAGGCCCAAAAATCCATATTTCATTTAAGAAGCATAAACAAGCTGTAATAACAGCACTGACATAGTTTAACCTTATAAAGTTGATATAACGAGCTTTGTAGCAAACTAGTTGCCTACGTACACATCCAGCAGTGATGTTTATGCCCACTTGGTCAATGTAATATTCACTCCTTTTAGCTCTGGCTTTGGTTTCTACTAGTTCATGAAGGAAATATCTGTTTAGCTGCTAAAGTTTCCATTATGTTATTTGTATGTAACTTTATCTGTTTGCTGTTTGGTGCTGGACAGGTAGTGTGTTCACTGAAAACAGCTGCCTTAACAATGAAAAACAATGCTCAAAAACACTGTATTGATTTTTGGGTGTAAACCCCCAACCACTAGATAGGATTTTGATGTTGGATGTTACAGAGGCTGGGATACATACAAATGCACATCCCACTGGTTGCATAACATAGTCAACTTTTTTTACTTTTTTTACATTTTATGAATATAATGCATTGAACATTTTCTGGTACAGAATATAAATTCTCCACACCAGACTCTACAACTCATACAACCATACAAACAACAAGAAAATACCACAATATGCTGTATTATAATATAATACAGTACAGTTTATTAGTACCTATTAGTAGTATTGTATTGCCATACTTTTGCACATACGCAGCCCTACATGGAAGGGGGATAGTTTTCAGTGGGTTTGTCACTACGAGCAACCCAATTCACGTTTTGTTCACATTGAATTACATAGTCATTTGACCCATTGCTATTATAAAAACATTGATTATAGCCATTTGAAATGTGTTGTCTGTAGTGTTATTAACAAAGTTATGCTTACATTTGATCCAACTGCATTGTGTGTACGCTTGAGTCCTGACAAGCGAAATGGTACACTGTTTACATCCATGCCTTTCTATGTTTTTTGGCACATTACTTATTACTGCCACCAACAGTCTATCATTAGAATAGCTTGTACTTCTGCGCATACTCATAAAAAAACATTTGCGTCGAACAGTGCTTACGAAAAGACAGAAAGTTCTTTATTTTCAGGCGTGGTTATAGCAACGTTACATACTGGACCTTTAAGAAGACCCCGTCCTGAGGGTAAATGAGAGGTGGAGCTGAGGTTGGGCAGACTTGAATGCATTTCCCTTGGGGACATGTGTCTTTACGGCTGTGATAAATAACGTTCACATTTACAGCTGTAGACCAAGAGCTAATGACAGGCCAGACAATGTTGTAGGTTGAGGAGAAATGTATGTCTGAGGGTTATATATGTGTCATGTATCTTTAGCCAGCCCTGGTGATTTACCTGCTGTGTGGAGAGTGGGGGAAGTTGTCTACTGGGAGACTGAAAACACAGCTGGTTGCCAAGCAGGACATCATGTACAAACTGTGTGTGTGTGTGTGCGCAGAAAGGCATGCTGTGTTGATATTCCCAATTCTTGTCTATGTAGGGGGTAAAGTTTGACTCACTACCAGTGAGAGAGTCAGCAGCAGTTGTCAGGAACATTTGCTTTAAAGGACCTTTTTATTTACATTGGATCTTTTAAGAACATGAAATTCTGTTGAAACAAAATGTATACAAACAGGCACACTACCCCACACCCTTTATGGAGTCTGACATGAGAAGACAAAGAAGACTCATTATCAAATGGAGTGGAATAAAACAAATGCCTAATGAGCATGTTTTGTTAGTCAGTGTTAGAGCTCATAGTATGCTCCTCACGCTGTACGGCACTGTAAGACGCTCTTAGCTTTATATCACTCTGCTGCCCTCTTGTGTCCAGTGGACAAAGTTCTGCTGATGCCAAGCAAACTTTAAACTCTAAAAAAATGATTTAAACTCTCCCTCCCCCCAAAAATGTTGATGTTTATAGACCTTTTTTCCCAGCAGCCATTTTGACACATAATAGTAGGGTAAACACAGGTGTTACCAATGATCCTAATTAATGTTCTTTTCCATTCAGGTCAAGGTTGTGAGTGTTGGCTCACTGGAAACTCTCTGCTACACTAAATGGACCTTAATGAACCTTAAATAGTATCACTGGTAACACCTGTGTTTAACCCACTATTTCATGTCAAACTGGCTGCTTTGAAAAAGGTCTTTTGTGCTTTCTCTTGGATGTTTGACTGACAGAATGATGCATGCACAGTGAGTTTTCACATTCATCTGTTGAATCCTGCTCTTACGTATAATAAGAGATCATGGTCCAACTTGCACACACTCATAATGACACCCAACCATACAGGTTGTTCCACTCCATACTTTAACGGTACTCTTCTTGGTTCTTCATTTATTTTTCTTCTTTTTTGTGTATTTTATTCTATGTATGTACATAGCCTTTATTTAACCAGGTAAGTCCCACTTCACAAGATTAAAATCTGTTTTTCAACAGTGACCTGCCCAAGAGAGTAATATGAGTAAATAAAAGAGTAATGGAATTTAGGGCCCAGATATGCTCTCCTGATTAGACCAAAAACAACACTGTTGTTAAATTAGGTTGGTAAATTAGTTAACTTGTTTACTTCATACCAGGTCCCAGGCTAGTTATTAACTATACCGCCTAAATGTTAGTGATTGCAAAACTAGCTAACAATCTGGCCAGAGGATGCTCTGACTGTTTCACACCCACATTTTAGCTAAAGCTAAAGGCTACTTGAACCCATGTATAATTCAGTTAACTCTGTGTGGGCTTTAGGTTGCTAGCATATACAACATCTTGTGTCCAACAGTTAAACTTCTTCATTGAAAAAATTCACCATCTATGAACGTGCAATTATTGTTCTTTTCAGGAGTATGAAGATAAACAAATTACCTTTCAAAGCATGGTCAAAGAGTATTTTTTGTTTGTCTGGGGTGAATATTTTAAAAATATTCAGGTAAAATCCTACACTAGAAACATTACGTTATGTTTTCTGTGATTTTTTTGAATCCACTGTATTCTCACTCTCTAACATATACTTACATTCACATATTGAACAGTGAATTTCCATAGTAGGGCTTTCATTTCCTCCTCTCACTTCACTCTCACTTTCTCCTTAATCTTCATTTTTTCCTTTCAGTTTAGAAATTTTGACTTTCCTGGCAAGAAGAGCTCAAGTAGTACTCAAAAATATTAACAATGCTTCTTTACCAGAAATAGACCTTTTTCACAGCAGCCATTTTGAAATGAAAATAGCAGGGTAAACACAGGTGTTACCAAGGATACTAATTAAGGTTTTGTTCCATTTAGTGTAGCAGAGCCTGCACAATAGCCTCTGTTTGACCTGAATGGAACAGAACCTTAATTAGTGTCATTGGTAACAGCTGTTTACCCTACTATTTTTATGTCAAAATGGCTGCTGTGAAAAAGGTCTATAAATGCAATACAATTCAGCAATTGGTCTCTGTCCCTACACCCCAGTTACAGAATAACTGGGTCTGGCTATATACAGAACTGACATTAAAATTTCAGTTTGTTAATTATATTCTTGTCTCATGTCTGTGTCTCTCCAGCCGTGGCCCAGCGTGTCCAACCTGGCCAAAGACTTTGTGGAGCGGATTCTAACGGTGGACCCCAGCGAGCGGCTCACAGCTGGCCAAGCCCTCAAGCACCCCTGGATTGTCAGCATGGCTGCCGCCTCCTCCATGAAGAACCTGCAGCGCTGTATATCTCAGAACCTCCTGAAGCGGGCGTCCTCACGCTGCCACAGCACCAAGTCGGCCCAGTCTACTCGCTCCAGCCGCTCCACCAAATCCAACAAAGCCCGGCGGGTGAGAGAGAAGGAGCTGCGCGAGCTGAATCGGCGATATCAGCAGCAGTACAACGGCTAAAACGGGGGCCGTGACCGCCGACGACTGTAGTAGACTGCTTTTGGAGGGGAAACAGCACTACAGTGACTGACCTTTTACAATGACTACCACCATTCGAAGTTGCTGCCAGTGTTAGAGGCCAAAATGGCTTCATGTCCCAAATCATTGCCTTAAAAAAGTGGACAATAACGTGACTTAATCCATGACTAAGGTTGACAGCTGCCAGTTGAGACTATAGTCAGAAATGATCATGAAGACAATGTAATCTATGAATTCCTATGGCAGCGTGTCTCCTGATGAGCACAGAAAAGGACACACCAGTAAGGTTTTGAAGTGTTACATCATCTCTCCATCCATTCCTTCACTTTCACTCTGGCAGGATGGTGCCTTTCACTCCTTTTGCTTTTGTTCTTTCAATCCCTGTGTCTCTACATATTTATTTATTATTGTTGACATGATTATTAGTCTCCATTCAAATGGTCACTGGATAATGACCTTCCACGAGGATCTGTTGAACAGAGTTCTGGGTACTGAAGTTTGTAAGAAGAAAGGGATACTTTAAGAAGAGGGGAAAACAAATTCCCCTCACTCATTCCTGATTGAAAATTGCTGTGAATTTATTGTTGTACTAATTGTACAGACCTTGTCTTTAAGATGTGGGTTTCGGAAACACTGCAACAACAACCACACACTTATAGGTCAAAATTAAGGCGTATTTTTTGTTAGTCAGTTCTAAGCTTATCTAATCTTGCCATTGTTGCTCCGGTAATATCATCGTTCTAAAGCTGTCAAAAGATTGTGAAGCTGTTTTGTGTCAGTGTTAAATCCTAAATGTATTGTACCAGACATTAGGCCACACAGCCCCTCTCCCAACAATTTATTAGATCAGTAGATTGACTCATGAAGTACCTGCTATGATCCCTTCCTGTTGTAGAGCACTATTCTAATAAGTCACTAGGGTTCGAACCCTTTTGTGTTTGTGCATGTTTATTATGTGTTGCAAAAGCTCAAATTGCCTTGAGCTGGAATGAGCTAGAACCAGGCCCGATAAGCGGTAACGATGTGTACGCGCTTCCCAAGAAATATCAGCCCAGTCAACCAGATGGTGGTGCTGTAATGCCCAATAATTTACATCGTAAGTCTGATTGACTAGAAATTGCAGTGAAAAAAACTGAAAACCAGTAATATGAATAGAACGAAAGAAGGATTATCACTGTATAAACACCATACTGGGTACACAGCATTACGCGAGGTCAGTCAAAAAACATGGCATCCATCAAGAATGTGTTCGCAAAGGGCAGGCCGAAGCATTTTAAACTCGACCCATAGAGGGGGCCACAAACGTAAAAAAACGGTAGGCTAGAATTTCACAAATTGGGGACGAGTATTAACACAATCTGAAGGGCCATTTTGAGTGGTACGAGTGTGCGTGGCCTCTTACATATTTGTCCATAACTCAAAATGTCTTTGAACAATCCCGATGAAACTGGAGACTTTTAACAGAATCGAACTAGCCAAAGTGACTTTGCTCGGCATTGTTAAGCTTTGATTTTTGCCGATTGAGCTGCATCAACATGATGAGCGATATTTGTCTTTAAAACGGTATGTGGTCATTTAGGGCGTGGTTTTACAGTTTCATTGTTTATTACAGTGGGAGTGGCACACGTATGCAACATTGACAGCAAAGATCTTTGTTGTAGAGAGCTGCCTCCGGTTGCACTAGCTCTTTGAAAGTTCGGAGTTGGTTATAACAAAAGTGTAGGTGGAGATTTACACGTCACCAAATTAAAATGGGTTGCACCACACAAAGCAGTTCTACAAATTGTTACTAAATATTTACTACAACCTGTTCGTAGCTAACTGAACCCACCGACAAAGCTAACATTAGCTTGCTAATATCTGGCGCGTATAGATTGAAGAGGTGTCTGAAGACTTAAAATTACATTTCACATAAATAACACGTTATACCTTAATTTACTAAATGTTGTGCCAAAAATGATGGTAATTTTAGCTAGGTTAGCATAATCGCCTCTTTGTCACTCATTCAGAACTGCATAAACACTGCTAACTCAGAAACATGAAATATAAAATAAAACAATGTGATGCCTACAGTCACAATGGCTGTTAAGTTTAAGATAGTTTAAGAAAGCTGTCCCTTTTGGAAGTTATGCTACAGCTTGTGATGCTACAGCGAGTAGTATCACAAGTGTGCTACCAGATTAAGTAAATCACTGCTCTTAAACAAGCTGTTTGTTACAATAACTTATGAACTCACTTGACTCACAAACTCATTAATGGATTTATGAATAGCAGGTGCAACCCAGGCACCTACCTACCATGAGAGTCCTAACATGTTTTCTAGCTAGCCTCTATTCCACGGACATTTGTTTCTCAGTGGGTTTTCTCAGAAGAACATACCGCAACATATCAGCCATCGGCATGCTGTCACAGTAATTGTTTCTCAGTTAAAGTTTTACTAGCCATCGTCAGGGGTAGTAGATAGCCATTTGGCGCAGAATATGGAGAGAAAATCCAGGAACATGATTCTGTTAGTGGAACAGAGGCTAACCAGGAGAGGGTCGACGTCAACATTTCAGCTTCCATCGGTTGCGATGTACAGTAGCTGTGGCAGGTTGTGGAGAGCCTGCAGAAACACAACCATCCTAAATCTGTATACTACTCTCATGAAATGAAGGAACATTGTGAGAAGCATGTAGATGTGAATCAAATGACCGTTAGTATGTATGATTTATAAAAGATTCTGAATTACAGAACCACGCAACCAATGCAATCTTATGCACAAGTTTTCTTAAGATTGGTTCGTAAGTGCACTTAAATCTGAATACAGTTAAAAGGCTTGCTTAGAGATGAGGTCTTGTTTATGAAATCCACAGTATTGATAGTAAAATAGGTTGTAGCTCTCTTATATTCTGCACTGTTTTAATTCTGCCTTTTTCAGTCTGATTCATAACTAGTCCAATGCAGTCCAATATATAGTGTGGATGGTGGGCTTCCTTGCAGTAGTAAGGTTTTGTGACTTCTGCATTACTCAGAGCTGTTGATGTTATAGCAATAACCTGAAATGAGAGTAGACTAGGGATTTTGGTTTTTGTCATATTGTATAATTGAAATGGTAAAATGCTGCATTACAGTAAAGGGAATTTTCTGAACTTATTAAACAGTGCAAGCAAAGTGAAATGAATAATAAATGCGACTGATTGTTTGGCCATCCTATGTTTAAATCATGTTTAAATGATTGATTGCGAATAATTCATCCCCAACATGGTCAAAAATGTGATATTTGATTAATGAATACTTCCCAAAGATAGCACAACTTAAAGCTTCAGAAAGTTCCTCTGAGCTTCAGACTTCTTTTATCTGACAAAGCACTTGATCTATACAGTTAAATTTAATTTTCCTCTGCTTTTTTTATGTATTTTGTCCCTTCAGAGTAAATCAGTTGCTACAGTGTGGTCTTTTCTTCTTTATATGAGCATTTTGCTGTGATCTACCCCAGACTTTTGAAGTGTGTTGCTGTTGTGAACTTTTTAACACGTACTGGAAACCTAACCGAGCCATGTCAGCTGACCTCAGTTCTTCCTTTCTTTTTGACCTTTGCTTTTTCCAGCATACTCTGAAATCTTTCTCTTACTACTCTTTCCATTTTCTATGATGTCAGATTTAAAGTCTTTGTCCCACGGCTGTTATCTGTCCCAATGTCTCTTGATGGGATTAAAGTACTTATAAAAGACCTTAAGTGACACATTGGAACTGGTATTGGTACATTCAAATCTTGACTGTGTACATTTTGATATACTCGACCCAAAATGTGTCCTTTTAATATCAAACGCATGCACTCTGTGGCCTTAAAAAGGTTAGTTTAAAAAGTGCTTCACAGACATAATCAGTGGTCATGTTAAAGATCTTGGGTGAAGTATTGGATTCAGTTTAAGGTGTCAAACTTCCTGCAGCATGCAGCTTAATGAGGTGGCCTTAGTTCTGTTAGATAGTTCATTGATTGCTCCTTATCATTGATAGCATCTATGTGAAATAAACATTTGTAACCCGTTATGAAATCTTCACTCTTTGGCTCACAGTCACAAAGTAATCATTTAGACTCAAGGAATTGCTGTGGTTGAATTAGTACAAACATTGCTGAGTGCCTAGTGTATATCATGTTCAATGAATAACCAAATCAGCTGTTTTTGCAGTGTCAGCACATTTGTAAAAGTGTTTCCTGTCATATTTTTATATCTGTGATTTTATATAAATGCTGTCGTCCTAAATGAAGTAGCCAACTCAACACTGTTACCTGAAAACAGTCGTTCATCTTTTGTTATTGTGTGTCTAAATGAATGATAACACTTTGATTCTTCTACCATTAACTTTTTTTATTTTTTTAAACGGTGAGTTGTATGTGCCAATAAAATACTCGAACCTGAACCTTGTGTTTGTGTTTTAATATGCTTTTCTCTGAAAGCTTGTTTGTGATTGGCCTAACAGATCACAGAAGTGTGTGAGTCAATGAGTCACAATGCACAACAAGAATACATTTGATTTGTTCTAGATCATTTCGTTGTAACTACTGTTGTTTTGAGATTCATTGGTTTACTATGTTGTATTAAAGGGGAACTTGGCAACTCTAGCCATTTCTTCGCTGGTTTTCACTTTTGTCATTGCATGTTT